TGCAATTTTTGAAAAAGATTTTAATACCTTTTGATATTATTTTTATCTCGAACAGTTTTTAAAAAACTTTTTTTTATCTTTTGAGCTATTTTTAAAAAATATTTTATCTCTCGATAAATTTCCAACAGTATTCTATCTCTCGAGCAATTTTTAACAACTTCTTTTATCTCTCTAGCAATGTATGTACAATATTTTTTTTAACACTATTTAATCACTAGAGCAATTTTAACAGCCTTTTTTTTACCTTTCAAGCTATTTTTGAACTATAATTTTAACACTATTTTATCTCTCGAGCAATTTTTGAAAAAGATTTAACAACTTTTGATATTTTATCTCTCGAACAGTTTTTAAACAAATTTATAACAGTATTTTATCTCTCTAGCAATTTTTAACAACTTTTTTTATCCCTCGAGAAATTTTTGTACAAAATTTTTTGTACAATTTTTAACACTATTTAATCACTCGAGCAATTTTTAACAGCTTTAACCTTTCAAGCTATTTTTGAACAATATTTTAATAATTTCTAACACTATTTTATCTCTCGAGTAATTTATTTTTAAACCTTTTTTTATCTCTTGAGCTATATTTAAACAATATTTTATCTTTCGATAAATTTCTAACATTATTCTATCTCTCGAGCAATTTTTAACAACTTTTTTATCTCTTTAGCAAACTGCACAATATTTTAACTCTCGACAGATTTATAAAAATATTTTAACTATCGATAAATTTTTGACAATGTTTTATATCTCGAGCAATGTTTGTACAATATTTTATTTCTCGAGCATTTTTTAATAGTATTTTATCGTTCGAGGAATTTTTAAACAATATTTTATCTCTCGAGAAATTTCTAATAATAGGTATCTCTTGAGTCAATTTTGTTCAATATTTAATTTCTCAACAAATTTTTCAATAGTATTTTATCCCTCGAGCAATTTTTGAACCAGGGTTTAACATTTTGTAATACTATTTTACTTCGAGCAATTTTTGAACACGAATTTAACAATTTATAATACTATTTAATCTCTGGAAAAATTATTAAATATTTTTATCTCTCATTAAATTTCTAACAGTATTTTTATCCCTAGAGCAATTTTTGAACAATATTTTACCTCTCAAGCAATTTCTAATATTATTTTATACTTTGATAAATTTTTAACACCCTTTTTTACCTCTCAAACCATTTTTTAACAATATTTGATCTCTCGTACAATTTTTAAACAAGTAACTATTTTAATTTCTCTTGCAATTTTTGACCAATATATTTTACACTTCAAATGGAAACGTACGCTGAAAAAAGTACCAGATATTGTGTCGATTGTACTAGAGTATCAGATTCTCAGAGAATGTACTAGATCTAGTACAATTGTACTAGACTGGCAACACTGTCCATCGCGCTTGCAACCGAAAGACATGCTATTCAGTGGTATACGGATGGTTCCAAAACCATAGAAGGAACTGGAATAGGAGTTTATGGACTGAGAACCAAGCACTCCGAAAGCTTGGGAAAATACCCAAGCATCTTCTAGGCGGAAATTCACGCCATCGAGAAGTGTATCCAGTTCAACATCGAGAGAAAGTATCATAGACAAGAGATTATCATCATGTCCGATAGTCAAGCAGCCATCAAAGCGCTGAGCACTTACGTAATCAGCTCAAAAATGGTCTGGAGATGCCTAAAACAATTGAATGACCTAGGCGAGAAAAATAGAGTTACTCTCACTTGGGTCCCGGGACATAACGAGATTGCAGATAGTCTTGCAAGGAAAGGGGCTCAAACACCCTTTGTCCTGAGCCGTTCTGCGGTATCAGGAACAATATTAGGAGAGATTAAAAAAGAATTGGGCAGTAGAAGAACCGATAATTGGAACAATCTCTTGGGGCTGAGACAGGCCAAGATACTTCTGGGTGAATATAACTAGAAAAGATCGGAAGCCTGCATCTGCCTGAGCAAGAACAGGCTACGTATTGTAACAGGTGTCCTTACCGGGCATTGCCGACTAAAAGGACACCTAAGTAAACTGAGAGTAGTAGAGGATAGTGAGTGCAGATTCTGTGAGGAGGAGGACGAAACCTCCATTCACATCCTAACTGAATGTGTAACACTCTAGAATCCAAGGGCACTATATCTAGGAGGATATCAAATAGAAGAGGGAGATTTACCTAACTTGAAGCCACTTCAAATCCTACACTTCCTTGAGAAAATAGGATTGAAAGGGTCGTTATAGACATTAAGACATTTCCTTGGTGCATTGGCGACAGAAGTGGGCACAATAGATATTTTAGGTCGCAGTGTATTAACATCCCATTCCCAACATAACATACAATGCCATTACCTACTATTACATAATCGACGAGTTTGTTTGACTGTAGGAACAGAAACAAAATCGCAAGGAATCAAATCGGGTTAAAAAACACGACGAGGTAATAATTTAACATATTAATAATAATTGATAAAGAAAGTATAATAGAGAAAGTAAAATTGATCAAAGTGAATAAGTAATTAGCCTTGACAAGAAACCGTATAAAGAGAAGAACAATTCCAATATTCAAATTTAACCGTTTCCTTATCAAGACCGGATATATCCGACAGAATCTGCATTGCCGTTGTTTCCACTGCCGTATATATACGCTCACCACTGAATAATCTCTCGATTCCACTGGCATATATATCCGTCAGTTTCTACATTTTAGGATTTTTCAGCCCCCTGCCGTATTGATACGGCACTTTTCTGATGCCTTTAAACCCATGACGTCTTTGTGCGCCGTTTTAATAAAGAAGTATACGTATTTAGAACCAACGCCGTATTGATTGTTCACTACTTAATTCGTGGAGGGGTATAGTGAGGGGTACAGTATGTAATCTAATGCCGTCTGTATTCAACTTCATTTTGGAATATTCTATATTAAAGAACAGTAGAAAATATTTATTTTACTGGCAGGTGTTGCGTAATAGTTTTATTATGTTTTTAATTATGTTTAAGAGTTCGTTTTTGTTTATTTGATTATGTTTAAGAATTTGGAATTTTAATGTGTCGTACATATGCGGCAGTGGGCCTAATGGCAAATGTAAAAGCTAGGGAATGGTGGCACTGTAGCATTCATAATGGTCGGTAAAGAAAGGGTTTAAAGTAAAGAAAGAAAATTAGAAAAACTCGAAGAAACGTTTCCCTCTGGAAAACAACAGGCGTTGCATTACATCCAAAGAAAAACAGCAGAGATGCCTACTCTAGCTACAATTTTGGTTACTAAGTAGAATGTAATTTTTGAACCGGTTTTGTCCATATTAGGACTGATCAGCAATAAATATACATTCCACTTCCGAAAATAATTTTCTATTTCTGCTGTTTATTTCTGTGGATAGATATGATTCAATGCCTGTTAAAGCAATAATTGTTTTCTAAAGTGAAAAAGTGCCCGACACGTTCGAGTTTTGCTCATTTTCTTTCTTTATATGAAGAGATTATGTTAGCTTAAAACATAATCTTATTTTCATCAAGAGCAATTAAAGATGACGCAAATAAAAATACTCGTTACTTTTAGAAAAAAAAACTACCTACTGTATATTATAAGATGTATATCTTTTTAACATTTTGGTAACAGTGACCTTATTTGTTTCGAATGTTTTGTGCAAATATTTGTTGTGAACTCTCTGAACTTTAGTCATTAAATCAATTTTGCCACTTTCGCGGAATTTCGGTTAATATAATTTCCTATGTTGCATTTTATTAATATTTTGTTGATTCGGCATACTTAATATGCTGATGGATTCAATTTAATGAAACATTTTATTTCCGCAACAGGATATCTATTAATATTTAAGATTGCTAACTAATTTATCAATGAAATTTTTAAAGAATTGACATAATAAAACACTGGAATCACCTCGGTGTCCGTCTGTCACAGGCGTTTTTGAAACAGTTGTAGTAAGTAGGTAGTGGCCCATATATAGGCGTTAATTAAAAAATTAAATGATATTAAAGTATAGCTTGTTATGAAAACTTCACTCAATTATATTTTTGTAATGATCTATTACCGTTTTTATTTCTTTAAAAAGTAATGCAAAAAGAAGTCGCTCAGAATATCCAGGACTAGATGTAATATCATTAATAAATAAAATAAAATAAAAAGCAGAGGACCTAAATTTGAGCCTTTAGGAACTCCCAAATGTATTTCGAATCAATTTGACACACTTTCTTTGAATCTGTCTTCAAAACTCCTGTTTTCCAAGTAACCTTTCATTCAATGACAATTTATTCAGAAGTATTTCGTGATCCACCGTATCAAATGCTTTCGATAAATCTGTAAAAATGACATCCATTTGGTTTCCGTTCTTAAAAGATTCATAAATTCGGTTTGTAAATAAAAGTAAGTAAGTATTTATAGATTTCGTTTGAACAAAGTCATGTTGACTATGACTAGGGTTTCCGACATAAGCATGCATTTTTGCGTGCCTATATTTATTCAAAAAGCTTTACGGGTGTGCCATGGGTGTCCCTCTATATTATTTTTACCCCATTAGATGCACGTAATCAAGAGTATTGCATTTACATGCGGTTTTGTGTAGAACTAGATATAACTAGATTTAGATGTAAGTCGATAGTAACCCGTCATTAAAAAGTCCTATTACGTTCTTAAGTTTTTTTGCCAAGTTTTAACATACATAACAGTAGTTGAAGAACTACAATATGCAACAAAATTTAAAAATTACATTTAATAGCAATGATTTAAGTTCTTTATCAATAAAACTGCACTACTAATCAGAGGCGGGTTTTAAGTGGCTTTTAGAGATACAAAATGTTAATATTTCCTGTTTTCAGTTCTTAAAACAGCGTTGTTTTTGTTGGGTAATATGTATCTTGTAGGTTTAGTTGTTTAGATAAAAAGGATACACTATATAAATCAAAACTGCAATATGTCCTATTCTGTAGATGCATGTGTTATGATTTTTTTACTTATAAAACCCAGTTATTTAAATTTATTACTTTCTTTTGTTACAGGTTTAATGAAGGCCCACACCGCCCGCCGAAACCACTTTACCATTAGCATTTTAGATTCGCTAACCCAAATTCATAATGAGCTGTAAAGTAGACATAAAAAACTCTCAAATCAAATAAAACAAACCATGCTGCCAGAATATGTGGAAGCTTCGCCAAAGTAGCCCTTCCCGCGCCAGCATACAAATGGTTCTGAAAGATGCTGAAACACATAACAAATGGAGGTATCTCGAGTCGAGGTACCAGACCAGACAGCTCCATGGTCCTGGAATCCAGGGTGGAGCCCGGGCCTCACAGGTACAGGTCACCGAATGCGAACAGCTCCAGAATATCCCAGCAGTATCCCCTAAATGTCTCCCACTTGCATTCTACGAATCTTGACACTTCGAAGCATTCCTTGTACAGTAACACAGTGCTGCCCCCTGGTAGTAAAGCTCTTAATGGGGGTTTTAATATATCTAGGGTGCGAAGTCAAGGGCCTGTCAATAAATTCATAGCTAAGTCAAAGGAAGTGGGGATAAAAGAAATGTTAGTAAGCTTAGGATTACTCTGCTTAGTGAGCTTACTTCTAGCACTACTATCTCTAATATTCCTTCTCAAAATATCACCCGTGACAGCTAATGATATCCGTGAATTGTTGAGATCGGAACAACTGACTGTGATAACTGCCGAAGAATATGTTGTGGTTTACGAAGTGACTTTAGCGTTGTGTGCTTTGACATTATCACTAAATTTGTGCTGCCTTTTAGTGTGTGCTATCCAGTTTTTGTTCGCCGTTAAGTTGGTTAAGAGTCCGCATGGAGGAAATGACAGGTATGTTTATTTCTTATTTCAGTTTAAAACACTCACTATAGTAGTTTGTGCAACAAGAGTGGATAAGATAAGATGATACGGACTATCCACTCGAGTTCTACGACTTCCTAAAGAAAATCTACAAATATTTGAATTTATGAATCTTACTAACATGTAAAATAAAATATTGAAAAAAAAAGAATTTAGCTTCTGCCGGGATTTGAACGCTTGACGTTTAGAGCGGAAACCAATCACTTAAACTTTTACACCAACATCTTACAATTTGTTTATTTAACATTTTTAATTAATTGTATTGAATTTAGATATTTTTTTTTAATTTACTAAATTTTCTTTCTACATATAAACGAATATCCAATAGATTGCCATTACGTATTTTTCGATTCTTGACAAGAATTAATAATTTCTAATTATATTTTATCTTAATAATAATATATTGAGAATTAGTTTGATAGAATTGTTACTAATTTAAAATGGATATTATATCCTTTTTAAAGTAAACTGTAAAGCCTAAATATTCACCTCTGTAGTTTATGTAAAAAAATAGATAATATACATGTGTGTGTAGACTTATTTATACAGGGTGGGCCACCGAAAACTTTCCACCCAGATTTTATTTCGTATTAATGCAAAACAAAAAAACGCACGAACTTGTCGATGTTAGTTTAGGGAAAGTACCAAGGATGACACATTATTGAAAAAGTAATTTGATGGAGAATTCGGCAAGACTTTTTACTGCGTTACTTTTTATTTTAGCGCCCTCTATCTTTATAAAAAATCTGTTATGTATTGTAAAGGGTGACACTTCATTTGAAAGCTAATTTTATTACTATAATCTAAAAGAGGAGTGCAGTAAAAGTGGGGATGTAACGTCACATTCCATAGGCGTACTTTGCTAAAAAGTTTCTATAATATAAATAAAGTCACGGCATATAAAATGGATATACGAACTTCGTAGGTTAAATTTTGAATGAAAGAAGTTATATTATTTATAAAAAATCAAAATAAACCTAATGCTTCTGATAAAATTGTTGCACTTTAACATTGAACAAATTAAATTTAACCAATAAATAACATTGGGATTAAACTGTTTTTAATCTCTAGGCATTAAAAGTAACACTTCAATACCTAAAATCAAAGATTAAAAAAAAATAAAAAGCTCAAGAAGTATCTTTAAAATCGACCTGTACCAGCGTTTTGTTTTATTGCATCAATACGAAAGAAACCTAAGTGGACAGTTTTCGGTGGTCCACCTTGTATATTGCAATAATTATGTTACTAGGATATTAAGGGCAAAATCCTATAAGGATAAGGTATACCTATTCATTATTTTGTATACGCGATACCTTATGTACGAATACCATAAAATAGTTATCAACTAAAATTTTATAACAAACAACAAATCCTTATAAATATTTAATTGCCGTGTTACATTCCTTTTGAGAAAAAACCCACCGAGGAGGAATCTGAAAATGTATTTTGCTCCGGGGGCCTGTGTTGGCTCTTAGATGACGACTTGTATTCATCTAAAGATACCACTGATTTGTTTTTATTTGTATTATTAGAAATAACTTTGCGTAACACTTGTGTCAAGGTAATGCGTTATTTCAATAACAGTATTATTTAATTATACTTGTTTATTTAAAATGTAGAAGATCCGTAATGCAATTTCGAAAAAAAAAAAGTAAATTTTTTAATATTAATTAGAGCAGAACGCGGAGATTATTCTAATTTATTGTTTATACCGTTTATCGTTAATAATAAAGCATGCGTTAAATTCTTATATAATACAACTAAGAAAATTCCACGATTACTTATATGAAAAAAGTAATCGTTGAACTTTTTTCTTTATATATATATATATTATCGCATGCATTTATCAAAGATCGAGTATTGTATGAATTAAAAAGATTTCAATAAAGCAGGTTTCATGGCGCAACAACTAAAATTCTCAAGGTTAGGTTGTAAGAGTAGAAGACGCTATAAACAAGTACTAATTACTAATTAGTACCACAAATTGTTGATTACAGTCTTGTTTAAAATCAAACTGATTTAGTAGAATTATTGCGGTCTCCGAAGGACCTTCAAAGATGGCATTAAATCAGGAATTCTAGATTATTTTTCTAACGCAATTTAAATTGGAGTTCGCGATTTTAATCTCATATGCCATTTAGGATAGATGCTACAACAACGTCATAGTCCATTAAGTTAAATCACTTACAAAATGAATTGATATTAGGTATTTGGCCGTATTTGGAAAAATATAGATCAACAATACATTCTAAATCTTTTTAAAGGCATGTTAGTTTATTTTAAAATGAATGATAGCAAAATTTTTATAACCCAGGAGATAAACCCCAATATAACATCATAAATCAGTGACGGAGAAATTCTAAAATAAAATGTTTAGCATTATTTGTTACAAATAAAATCTTTGGTTTTCTTCCTAAAATTTTTAAAAATACCAATTTATTTAAATTCTTGTTTTAAATTTTCTAGTCATTTTAGTCATCAAAAATAAGGTAAGTATGTAATCTCTACAGGTAGAAAATATTTACAATTCAATTTAAGTAACCCTCTACTTTCTTAGAAAGGATTAAAATTTCTAATCTGCAGAAAGTGTTATGCAGATTGTATATTATTTTAGTTAAGATTTACATTTCTGTTTGTATAATCTTGTGATTGCAACACGGAGAATTGTTAGTTCTGTAATAATAGGTGATAAAAAGCGATATTGATCAAGTGAAACGTCTAATTAAGGTACAATTTAACTGTGCATGTGAAAGCTTTAGTGTTAAATGTACATGGCGGTCTTTCACATGAACATTTCAATAGTAATGTCCAGATTATAGTTTTTAAGTGTTTACATATGACCGAAGCTGGAGAAGCAACCATGTATAGACTTTTGAAGCAACGAAAGGATGGAAGTATTACAATAGCATCTAAAACGTCAACTGGAAGAAAACCCATTCTACAGGGCCAGTTTGGTGCATAAACATGTACCAAATACCTGGCAACAAAGCAGAGTTGTTTTCATACCTAAACCGAGGCGTCCAACGTATGCCGTGGCAAAGGCCTAAGACCAATAACTCTAACGTCATTTCTATTGAAAGGATTGGAAAAACTGATTGATTAGCATGTCCGGCAAACCACTCTGATAGAGAAGCCATTTCATACAAACCAACATGCCTATCAATCAGGAAAATCTTGTGAGTCTGCTCTGCATCATCTTGTGACCAAGATAGAGGGAGGACTCAGTAGCCAAGAAATAGTCCTAGGAGCATTTCTTGACATAGAAGGAGCTTTTGATAATACCTCCTTTAAATCAATGGTAGCTGCCGCTTTCAAACATGGAATAGAAGACACCATCTACTGGTGGATATAAGACATATGCGGACGGCAAGTACAGGCACAAATGTTCAGTGAAACCATGCAGGTGAATATCCACAGGGGATGCCCACAGGGTGGAGTCCTTTCTCCTCTACTGTGGAACCTAGTGGCAGATGAACTGCTGAAAACACTAAACAATCAAGGACTGTACGCCCAAGGATATGCCGATGACATAGTCATCCTTATCCGAGGGAAACACCAAACCACAGTCTTTGAACTCATGCAAAGAGCTCTTAGGCTGACAGAAATGTGGTGCGTTAGGGAAAACCTCTTGGTAAACCCTGACAAGGCACAACTCATAACCTTTACTCGGAAAACAAGGTTGGAGGTTTTAGAAACTCCGACTCTGTTTGGAGAAAGGCTAAACAAAACGAACAAAGTAAAATATCTGGGTCTAATTCTAGATAGCAAACTTACTTGGAATCAATACTTACAAAAAGTGACCAACAAATGTAAAATGCCTCTCATTGTAGGGAGACGGGCATTTGGAAAAACATGGGGATTAAAACCAAAAATGGTCCACTGGCTATATTTGGCAATAACAAGACCCATGATTACTTATGGAGCGGTTGTTTGGTGGCCAAAAGTAAACCAGAGAACAGCCCTCAATACCCTCTCAGGAGTACAGAGGCCATGCCTTTGTATTACAGGAGCACTGAGAAGTACACCGACAGCCTCTATGGAAATCATTTTAAACCTCCCACCCCTTGATCTAGTCATAAAGGGGGAGGCCAGAATGAGTGCATACAGACGGGAAATCTTCAACAACTGGAACCCACTGGGACATATAAAAAATACCAGAATAACACATGAAGTAAATGATTCTATATTAAATATGGGATCCGATCACATGACACCCCTCCTAACCTTTAAGAGACTCTTCCAGGTCAACTGTAACTGAAACGAGGTAAATAAGGAGATAGATAAATACTTGCTTAGCGGTTATTAAAGGACATGTCCTAACCTAATATCTAGTATCTAGTATACTATTTTTATAAAAATAAATGTGGGTACTTAATATTGACAGTTTACTATTTTTTATATTAAAGTAATTTCGTGTTCCCCGTCACTGAGGTATATAATTATTGGTTAATCCCTTAGGGTTTGCTCATTTACATTTTATGATGTATTGTATTTGAAATTTTTCGGGATGGTCATACTAAAATCTAGTAAAAATTCAGTTAAGAAGGTAAATATCAATATTTACTTTTTTCTGCTTTGAAGAATCCTGTATATAGACCTTCGTCATAAAAACTGCTATCATGTATTTTCAAATAAATTATAATATGAATGGAGGTTGCAATTAGACATCGAGGAGGTAACACCAGATATTAGCAACCTTAATTTTCTATATAATTTCGTTTTCATAAATGATTAGAAAAAACTGCAATTTACCTTATTTTCTACAAAGAGTACAAAACTCATGAAACCTGTATCCAAACACCAATATTTAATATTTCAAGCATATAAATTAACAATATTTTCAAACTTTATGATTTAAATTGATATTTTTTTTATATGTCAAAATAGTCAAATTTTGTGATTTTAGCCAAATAAGCTTGCGATCCTAACCGGTCATTTAGTTTTATACTATGTTAATACCCAGAATTCAA